ATGACTATTCTATAAAAATCTTTTCCTACAAATATATAGACAAAATAATTCCTAAAAAGATCATTTCAACAAAGAACTCTTGCCTCCTCACACTTAAACGGAACCACGGCCTCGTGGTTAATAGTATTTTGGAATTGGAGTTAATGGTTGAAATGCTCACATGCAATTACTAAGTTATCTCAATACTTACAAGATTCAGAGATGAAGATTGAAATAATAGATAACCATAACATGAAAATATGAAATAATGCATAAAATTTTCTCAAAATGGTTTTAAGAGTCATGTTGTGAAATTCCAAAAAATCATCAAGCATCCAAATGATGTTCAAAATAGTAGAGAAAAAGAGACTTTACTGATAAAGTCAATATTCTCTCGGTAGCCAACTTCAACCAGGACCATTGGATCAAGAAGCCTCGAAGGTTGCAGAAACCTTGTGTTTTCCCCAGGTGAGACCTCTTCTTCGCTCCTACTGTAAGGTATGCCCTACAATTCTCTCATCTGCAAAAGCAAAGACAACAAACAAAATAACTCTTGCCCCCAAAACTGGTGCGGCAAGCATAACCTCAAAAACTAATAAATAAAACTATTGAATTTATTTAATTATTTTAGTTATTTGAATGACGGGTTGCCTCCCGTAAAGCGCTTCTTTAACGTCCGTAGCTCGACGCTCACCCACTTTTTCCGTGACTTTCCGATCCGAGAGTCATAAAGTTTGGCCCTTCTAACTCTTTTCTGGTGCCACCTTGTTTGATATTTTGCTCGGTCAAGGTCCAGGATCCTTGACTCGTCCCTGCGGCTTGGCGGCAACAGGATAAAAGGAGGCGACTCTAGATAGGTGGGGGCGGAAGTCTCCTTAGTTGATCCACATCATTGGCCTTCATAGCGATATTGATTTCTTCCTTGTCTTCAATGGGCTGACCATCCATTTGTGGTTTGATGATTATGATCGTACCTTCCCCCAAGGAAGAGTCTTCAGTGTCACTTACCAGAAGTTCATCCCAACTCTTATGGCTCCAACCATCCTTCGGGCAGACATAGTCACACCCGTCAAGTAGGGAGTCAAAGAAGGTTTGGTCTGAATCTTCAGATGAAGCATTATGTACACAGGTTTCTACAAACGGAGTTGGTTTTTCTATGCAAAGTATTTCCTCGTCTGTAGATTCCTGCTCGGACACTTGGACATTGGTATCTTGGGGGCAGGTAATGGGCTCTATTTCCTCCAGAACAGGTTCCTTTGGAGGTGTGTCTTCAACACAATTAAGGAGATGGTCGTTTATTGCCATAGGCAAAACTTCCTCCTCCTTCTTTTCTTGAACGAGTGTAGGTGGTTCTGAGTCAGGTCCCTCAATTGGTTCCACCTCATGTACAACTATGCTAGTTGGGTCTGGGCTAGGAAGAGATTCGGGTAACATTACCACAGTAGCCCTAGCGAGAGTTGTTATGCTCTCGGATTTCTGTGGTAGTGTTAGTCTAGATGAATCTTCTAGAACTGGGACCTGTTGGTTGTTGGGTTCAGGGTTGGTCTTAGGTTCTAGAGCCTCTTTTTGAACATTAATCTCCCTCATTTGATCTTGAGATTGGAGGGAGCGTTTAAGTTCAACAGCCTTGCAGAGATCATTGACTAATTTATCATCATATCTGATCCTTCATGTAATCTCCTTTCGAACTCCTTTTCCTTCCGGACTGATTTGAGAAGTTTTGCTCTTTCTCGAATTGCCACCTTGTTTGCTTCAATTTGTTCTTCCGCAAACAAGGTGTAGTAAGAAGGCGGACCGTAATAACCACTAGAGTTATCCATAATAATTATTACGGGTGGTTGGTGAAAAAGAAGTGAGAAGATCGTTCTAACCACTCTTCACCCAAGCTAATTAGAAGAAATTAAACTAATGTCGTGCCACTCCCCGGCAATGGCGCCATTTGACAGTTGTAGTTTTTCGGGTAGTAAACCTTCCCAATAAAGGGTTTGTTTTCTCTCCGAGTGTCGTATCTCTCGAGGAGTGGACGAAAGGAATTAGTTTAATTACTCTAATTAGGCGAAGATTAGGATTGGTTTATGAAAGTCTTCTCGGAACGATTATAAAAAAAAGGGCAGAGTAAAATAATAAATAAATTAAGTTTACATAGTATAAGTGTAGATCTGGATCTAGGGTCTGGACATCATTTGGATCTATTTTGTCATATTAAATTAACAATTGGAATAATAATATTTCTATTACTACTCATCCATTTCTAGATTTGTACTTAATCCGTTGTACTTGAATATCATAGCCTTTTGGCA